AATTGGCAGCAATTGAAAAGGCTTATGCAGAGAGAGTAAGGGAGCTTACAAGGAGGGAGATGGAGTTGGCGCAGTCAGAGTTTGCAAGGGCTAGACATATGTGGCAAAGAGCTAGAGAGGAAGTGGAAAAGGCTGAAAGAATGAAAGAGAAAGCTACAAGGCAGATAGATTCTACGTGCATGGAGATCACTTGCCAGTCTTGCAGGCAAAGGTTCAAGCCTTGAATTGATATCATATCATGCCTTTATGAGACTGAGATGAACTTTTAAACCTTTCATGATGAAGAAAAGTTGGAGTTATTCTAGAGACAAAGTTATCGAGTCTGGATTATATTTGGGTATTGGATTCCTTCTATTTCTTCTTTCAACAACGGGAAGGGATAAGATTGATGAAAAAGCACACAGCATAAGTGGCAACACTGAAAAGTTTCCAATGATAATGCCCATTCTGTATTTTATCATTTGTGATGTGTATGTTGATGAATTATTGGCTGCAAAATTTATTTCAATGATGGGATGTTGCACTGCTTTTCAAAAACCAAAATGGAAATTATGAAGGAAAAATATCAATAATTTGTTACTCATAAAAAAAAAAAGATTTTCTCCATCTTTGAAGCATTTACTAAGGATTGATTCTCAAGACAACAGACAGCAATTGCCATTCAACAAGTTGCAATTTCAGCAAAGCTATAGAGGAAGACTCTGTGGCATAACCATGTTCCATCAGAAAATTATTTCTGTCTTTAGTTTCAAAGAAATTCAAGACTCTCTGCAATTTGTTGAATGAACCTGCACGAACCTTGGGATTTATAATTTGTAACAGATTGGTGATTACAGTCCCCATGATATTTGCCTTCTCAGTCCTTTTCTTCTTTCTTGCTTCCTTCAATAACAAACAATCATCTCCCAGATTGCTATATACATGCACCAAGAATGAAATTGCTGTAGCAAGATTAGAAACTTTAATCTGTAATCACGAAATCAACCCCTTTCCCTGGTCAATAAAATCACTGGATTTTCCAGTTTGTTAAACCATAATTACTCAGCGGAATGTCAACGTGCATGATAAGGGATGCTGTATAGGCTTCCATGTCCTCTAACAATTAAGAAATAGACTCCTGAACCAGCTAATCCATATATATTATATATTCTGCTGATGATAAATCAAGTACGGGAACCAATGGTAACCAAAGGATTAAGTTTATGGAGTTGGACTAGGCAGCTTGCCCTAAAATTTTGAGCTACAAGCTCAGAGAGAAGCAGTTTTCGTAGCTCCTTATCAGTTTTTAGTGAGTTGGGACTTCACAGCCAAAATATTAAACCTATTAAGAACAAGTTCAACTCAATAATATCTGCGCAAGGAAGGAGGAGGAAATAGTGAGGCAGAAAGAATACAATAATTTATTATCTGCAAGTTCTGAGCAGCAGCCACCAAACACCAGAGTTGTGCTTGCAAGTTGGAAGATTTGTAGTGGATGTGGATGCTAGTGAAGCTCTAACACATAATGTGGGCTAAATGAGTCCAAACTGATGGCACACTAAGAACCTTGATTTTGATAGAAAGGCAAATGAATCAGAACAAAAAGCAAGTAATATCATCAAGATCAAGACAGGAGGTGCATAGGTAGCTGCATCCACTTGTATTCAACTTCTTAACTTTTGCTGATCAGAAACCAAACACCCACTATCTATGTCTGGGATCCAACACAAAAGAAACATTTTTTTGGACAGGATGACACATTTCAATTGAAAGCATCAGTCAGAGCAATGAACAGTGACACTGCCACCCCTTTCAAGATGTCGCGAGAATGAAAACTAGCTTAATTTGTCAGCAACCTCCAAACATATTTCTCAAATACAGTTAACCTGTCATGGCTGGCTTCAATAATACACTGAATTGATTCTTTGCTGAGGTCAAAACATAATCCAGTGGGGTCAGAGGATCTTGAAGTTTCAAGACTTTGGTCCTCCTAGAAATTACATCTGCTCAACAGCAAGGAAAGCATGGGGAGGAAAAAGAAAGAAAGAAAAGGTAAACATCATCAATTAATTTATTGGCCTTAAGTTGCAGAATCTTGTGAAGGGTTCAACCTAATCAAAGATCAAAAGCATACTCCCCCTTTTCACTTTCTAAACATTTGTGGTCTTGCTTTAACGCTTTTAGGGCTAACCACTTCTAATATACCTTCAAAAAGACAATCAGTCCATCCTCAAGCTTTTTAATGCTTAAAGTTTCAACAAGATATAGAGCTCACACTCTTCTTTATTGCACTTCTTCATTTGCTTTTCAGATTTGATAATTTACAGCCTCTTCCTCCTCTGCTTCGGGTATAATTAAGAATCTGTAATATTTGCACGGGAACCAGCTGAAGAATTCCCTTCATTTTCTTTCTCTTAAATCTACTGCTGAGAAGGATAAGAATCTGAGAATGCCCAGTATCTCAACGTTGACCGTCCTTGTCCTGTAGGAGACTGAACTTGTGTTTTATAAGTGGTGCTCTGCCATAAAGTAGGATGCCAATGATAGAAGTAAACATTTTCGGGCTGGAAACTAACAAAAAAATTGTCCATTCACTGTATCCTAATTGAGTTTCAGATTTACTAGATAATGATCATACTAATCAAAGATCCATACTCCTCCGACAAATGACCACTTGCATTATGGGTTCCTTGTCTTTTATCTTTTATTTGGATACAATCAGAGATATGCAAGAGCTATCGATTCCATGATAAAGTTGACGAGCAAGATAAAAGTTGTAGGACATACCCAGGGTGATCAATCAAACTAGTCATTATGACAAAACCTTAACATTTGTCTTTTCAGATTGTCCACATATTATGGTGAAACGATACTGTATTTCTACTTCAAACCGATGTAGATTCGTCGTGTCGAATCGTACGCCCAGCACTACAATGAATTCTGCAGATGAGTGACCTTAATTATTCCATTACCAATCAGAAAGCATGGCTGTCCTTGAGCATCTCCGGCACTATGTCCTCTGAAATTACCTCTTCTTGAATCTGACATGAAGCCCCCATCAGTCTCATTAGTGCCAAGTAGCCCATTATATCAATATACATGACTTGTCATAATTTTGCACCCAGCAATGCACAGATTGAACAGCGCATTACTGCTATTAGCAGTAAATAATCTACTGGTCTAGATCATCTAAAAGACAGCACCAATCATTAACATTTAAAATTTGGCAGGAAGTGAGAACTATTAGAAGTAAGAGGAAACAAAAACTGGTGGGAGTTTATTTTCTGTCTTTTGAGAATTCATCAAGTAAAAACTTTTGCTAGTACTACATGGCACTAGTGATCGTTAATTCTCCACATACAACCAGACCATTCACAATCTCTTTCAAGGCAACAATAAGAGCAGAATATGAAATGTTTCATCATTTTGGTCAAATCTAAACCAACCAAGAAAAAAAGAGCACATACCTTTAAAAGTAAGGAAGGCTTAGCTCATGGTGGGGCTCAAATCTCTTAAGAGTCACACCTTGTGGGACTGAAAACAATCACACCATTACATTGCTATACTGAGCTAACAGCCGGGGTGGTGAAACTTTTTATCGTTTTCAATGATGAAAAGCTAAAAGGAAGGATATGGACAAGAGTAGCCATTGTACAAAGTTTCCATTTGCAGTTCACATCAGAAAATAAGAATTAGTCAAGCTATACTATGATGTCCAACCCATATAACATAAACATAGCCGGTTAATGTTCTTTGATTCAAAGGTGAAACCCTTTTTCCTATGTTAAAATTATCTATCCCTCTTATCTAATCTGATATTGTAAAGTCACCCCTTAATTAATTAATGAAAGATAAAAATGAATATAGTTACCAGTATAATTAAAGATAAATTATTGATATAATTAATAGAGTTGTTGGATAATTGATAGAGTATGAATAAAGATGAGTTGTTAGTCTAATTTGTGATATAACTGGTATCATAATTTATGATTTTTATCCTCTTATTTTTGCCTATAAATAAGTAATGCCTCCAAATTTATTTTGCATACCAAGATAGAACCAAGATAGAGAGAAGAAAAAAAAAGTGAAGAGAGAATAATTCTATAAAGTTGTAAAGTATTTGTGAGAGAGTAAATGAAGTGTTTTTTTCCTAATAATAAAGAGATTTTTAGTTGTTTTTTTATTATTTAGGAGAGATTGTAATTCTAATATTACTTAGTAAAATTTTTCATGTGAATATAGCACTAATTGGATGAATCATATAAATTCTTATGTGTTTTATTTTTTATTTTATTTTATTTTTATTTTTTATTTTGTTGAGTTTGCATTTACATCCTAACATATTCTAAGTCTACTAGTACCAGCTTCCAATTGCTGTGCTAGCAGCTTAATCGTGCATTTGATCTCTGCAGCTGACTCGAACATGTTTATCTGCTGGATTGAATGCATTAATCTTGGCTTAAAACAGCTGCGATAGCTTTTCATTTGATCTTCTGCTTTGGAAACTTGCTTAGCGTAGTCCAATGAATGCCATGAAAAGACTACAAGTGGGTTTTTGAAAGAATCCTGAGATGTTTAAGCTCTTAATAAAGTCGCTCCATTCTGCCATAAAGAAGACAAAATAATTCCAGTCAAGATGGATTTCAACGCAATTAAAAGAGCTGAAGCACCGATATTTAACACGGCTGCTTCGTCGTTGCACATTACCACTACCATGAAAAGTTTTAAGCACTCGTTTCGGCGAACGATATAAACATTGATTAAAATTTAATTTATTTATATTTTTAAATTTTGATGAGTTAATATTAAAAATAATTTTGAAAAAATAATTATTTATATTATTTTTTAATAAAAATAAAATTTTAAAAATTAATTATTACCGCAGTTCAAAAAACAATATGCTTCAAAAAATACTTTCTCTAAATTAGAGAATTGGCGGGAACCAATTTAGTACAGAAACGCTGCGTTTCACAGGCATAAAATCACAACAATCCATAAGAAACGACGCGTCATTTAGCATCTACTTTCCAGAAAATGTAAAATTCCAAATTTTGAGTTACAGAGCTAATATCTAAAATCATCAATCATCACCATGAACCAGAAGATGAAAATTAACAAGAAGAAGAATAAAAAGAATGAAATGGAGTTTTGCGAAGTATGCAATTTGAATGACGATGAAGGCCAAAACCATAAGTACTTTCCAAACCACAAAAATTCACTCTCTAATTTCTTCTCTCGTTTCCAAACCAAAATCGCCGCCGTCCGATTCTTTCTCAAAAGCCCTACCATTCTCCAACCTGGACTCTCCTCTCGCAACCGCATCTGGTGCGTCTTCTGCGATTTCGATATCCACGAGATCGGCAGCTCCTTCGTATGGTAAACAAATTTTTTATTTTATTTTATTTATGATTGTCAGTATTTATTTTAATTATCTAGTGATTATTATTTAATTGGTAATGCAAGTCAGTAATGTGTTTTTTTATTCGCTGAAAAAAAATAGCGCCAACGCGATAAGTCACCTGGCGAGTGAGGAACATTTGAAGAAATTGAAGCGCTTTATGTGGAAATACGGTGGTGGAATGGGCTGGGTGCCTGGGTGGGATACTTTTCGGGTTTTAGAAGCTCATGTGCTGAATCGTTGTTCAATGGTAGATTAGTGTTATGCTATTGGATTTCTATAAATGAATATGATAGTGTTGATTTGAAAGATGTGTAATACTCGAGACTAATTTAGGTTTCGTGTTTCGGTAATTGTAGTGGGACAAGTAGTGTGAAGCATTGAGGAATGAAAGGGCAGCGTTGGGCAGCGTTGGATCAAGAGGGATGCAAGTTGGACCTACAAAAAATATCCTCAACCATGAACATATAATTAACTTTGAAAATAATAGTTTGGGTAATGTTAATTTGAATATTTCAAATGGTGTTATGCCTTTACAGTATTATACAATGGAGTATCAGATATGCAATTCAGGATTTTCTGCAGTTGCGAATGTTGGACCATCCATGTATTGTGTGGTCTCTACTTTGCCTGTGCATGCACATTCTGGTACATGCAATCCTAATGATTTAACCGGTAAGAGTAACCTGCTTATTTGATATCCATTCCTCCAATGAAGTCGTTCTGAATGGAGATATACTGATACTAGTTCTGTTGTTTGTCTCGTGTTTGAAATTTGCAGCTAACTGGAATAGCCAGCATTCTTTCCCATAACAGTATAAACTGTGCACCCAATGTCGGTAATGGACAGGTGAGTTTGGTCCTCTACACTCTTTCTCTATGAAGCTCATTTCATTTTCTCCAAAACATGGAGATTATTTTCTTCTTTTGTAACTTCTTTACCGTGTCTAATCTTTTGTAGTGATTTTTATATTATGCAACTCGGTAGTTTAATAGCAGGTGAGTTTCTCATGATTAGTTTGTAGAATATATGGTACATGGCTGGCAGTGCTTTTGAATCTATATGTTGCTGTGTCGATATTTATCTTTAAGTGCTGCATTTATTATTTTTACTTGATAGGCTAAGCATCTCTCGAGGTTGTATCATAAGGGCGTGCAGCATTTTGTCAGACATCTTTGGCTAGGTGACTGTTCTAGTCATGGTGTGAAAAGTGACTGGTTATGAAACTAGTTGTGGTTTTCCATCCCTTTCCATTGTTTAGGGGTGGCTTTGATAATTACAAAGCTATATTAAGTGGAATTTTTTCCCTCCACTTGTGAATACTATTTTCTGATCATTCCAATGAGGGTAAGATGGATACGTCAAGTGCATAAATCTATGTAGATGTGCTGTCCTTCATGTATTTAGACACTCTCCACCGGGATGATGATTTCAAAAACATTTTGTAGGAGTTATCCATTTAGTTTTAGGATGTGAAAGTTGCCGTACTGTTTTGTGTATCATCTCCTTCTTCCTTCTTTAATTGCACGCCTTTAGTAAGTACCCTTTGACTTCTAAATGCTGTCAAGGTTTGTTTTTTGCTTGATGCTCAGTGATGTCAAAGGCTCTCAGCAAGGCTTTCTTTTCTGAGTATACTTGTTTTGGAGTAAAAATATGTGTAAACTTATATTTGTTTGCTATAGCTGTGCCAGGTTTATCAGGGTGAAAGATCCGTACATGGAGTGAGCAGTTTACGGGGTATTGATTTTTTTCAACATCTCATTTCTGTTATTCTCTTATTCTAATTTAAAGCTAGTCATCTGGAAGTACATGCATAATTTGAGTAGCTTGGTGGATGGGTCCTGTTACCATGGTGTTCCATACAATGTCAATCCTCATATTGTAATTGTCCTGTCAGGTTCCCACAATATACCTCAAGTTCCTGCTATGGCTCTACAATTGGCTGGAGTCACTCTAGCACCTGCCTTGACTCCACAAATGGCTGGAGGAAATGTGCATACAGGAGCTTCTCCTTGGTTTGAAGCAACTGAAGAAAATCAGCTAAACATTCAAGTGAAATGTACATGCATAATTTCTTCTAGATCTGTTTTGTTTGCAAATAAGTCTGGGAAATCACACAAACTGAACCAAAAAAGGGTAGGGGCTGTAAGAGAGTAATAGAAAACTATTTTTAGGACCTTGCCTAATAGTTTAAGCTATTGAGTTGAATGAGTTCTTTGACATGATATTAGAGTTTTGATTACCAAACAGTCATGAGTTCAAATTTCATCACACCTATTCTAATTAATTAAAAAAAATAGGTACAAGTTAGTGTAGGGGCCTTAACTTGAGATGGGTGTTAGAGAGTAGTATAAAACTATCCTTGGGACCTCACCTAATTGAATAGTTTTATATCAGGGACTGCTTGGGCAGAAGGGAGAAAGATGGAGATGACAGGTTGTCAAGAGCGATTGTGATGCTAACTGGCTCCCCAATTTTGGCAGCATGACGGCCAAAAGGAATCTAGAAAAGAATTTGAGAATGAGAAACAAAAATTACCCAGTGTGGAGAGTCATACTGAGATGCCAGTTAGGATATAGCCTTATATCAGCAAACAAATGGTAATCTCTAAGCTCAATGTCCTTGTGTATCCTGCAGTTCTTGTTATGTCCCATCTTTTCCATTTTCAGGCTTGGCTCTTTTTGTGAGGTGATTGAAATATACATTTTATGTTTTAAACATCATTACAATACATTGTTTTCTTCTTACTTGATTGTCCATGTTAGTAGATAGTGACGCCTCATCACATATAAATTTGACTAAAGTACTTGTGAATTCTTAGATGCATTCTATTATGAATTGCTGTAAAAGGACACCAGTCTACTTCAGCGTAATGTGGTAAAAGAAAGTTGGAACTAAGCATTTGCAGGTGATCATAGCACAGTTCACCTTTATAGGTAGAAGTCTTGGCTAGTTTTAGGTGATATGCTGTGTAAAAAACTCTTTGCTTCTTAGGCTGATGACATTGTATTCAAGTCTGGCATATATTTCATTGATTTGTGGAACTTTATGTGATGATGGGCTTATGCAAAATTAGTTTCCTTGACCTAATGAATTTTTATCTTGTCCCCAGCACAGAGGAGGGGTGCACTTGAATGATGGCTGCTGTGGTGATCATGACAAGAGCTAACAATGCTTCCGGTGACAAACATCATGGGAGGTTACTTTTGTATTCTTCTGCCACCTCACAAACATCATGGGAGGTTACTTTTGTATTATTCTGCCACCTCCTTCTTAAATTTCAGATTTTAGTTCTGAATGTATATATTTTTGTCAAAGGCAACAAGGGATCATTAAAAAACTTGAGCCCAGAAATGGCAGATCACTTGTTGGGTCCGTCATGTAATCATTATACTGTTAGATGCCCTTTTCGTATACCTGAAATTACATATCGCGGATCTTATGTTAAAGATCAGATTCTTTTTCTGTAAAGTCAGATTTTACCGTTCACCAAAAGCTTTAGTCTAATTATTGTCGTCTGTCTGGTGCGGGCAACCTTGCCACCACTACTTTGTGTTCGAATATTAGAATAATAAGCTATGGAACCAAAAACATGGAAATGATTTTTTTAAGAACACGGTTAAAAGATTACATCATCTGCTAACAAGAGAGCCCTTTCTTTAATCATATAGAAACAGCTGTGGGACAATGAGTGTCGAGCAAGCCAGAAATTTTCTACAACGCTGGTTTCATTTGGCAAAAACTGTGGCGGTATTCGATTCTTGGGGCTCCTACCTTGAACTTGAATCAACTTTAAAATAATGGAACTGCCTATGGATGACCGGAAATGCTTTTCAAGTGTGTTGGATGTAAAGCTGCCTATATTCACTCTCTGTACCTTGAATCTGCCTCTGCGAGAAGACAGTGACCTTGATTGGCATGCTCTTGACTTGTACATGGATAAAAACATGTCATGACATCTGAAACAATCTTCAAGATGTGCCCGGAAAGAATGATCGTGAACTGTACAGACTAGCTCCTTTTACTGTGTGCAACAAAGCCATCACTCAATCGCAACCATGTGGTCTGAGCAAAAATCTGAAGAATTTGATTTACCTGAGATCCTAAAATTCCAGAGTTTCCCCTTTGAAGCAACCAAGTTCTCATCACACAGAAACTCCCAGGAAAACCACTTCTCAATTGTCCGATCAACATCATGTACCAGTACATCTGTTGTGTTCCCAGCTCTTGCTATCATACTAGCTGTGTAGATTGCCCCCATTCTGCCTGTTGCCTCTGGTGAGTGACCACTTGGTCCATCCACCACCACCACATTCCATTGAAGCTCATATATTACACGTGGCAGGTTTTTCAATGCAAGTTTGCAAGATGAATTCTGAAGCATTTCTGGGTTTGGTGCACAAGCTGGACTTTTCCTTGCATGCTCAAGCAGCTTGTAAGCCTTCTTTGCAGGTGTATGGTATTCAATCTTGTGGATTTGAGTGTTGTTGGTTTTTGCTCTAGCAGCGCTTATTTTGTCAGGATCATCCTCTAGAAAGATTGTGGTGCCACCTGAGTTGATGGAGGACAATCTCAGGTACTGGGGCTCTGCTCCAAAAACAAGGAGGTTGCAGGGGGCTTTGCGTTTAATGAGATCAGATAGAAGTTTAAATTCCTTTTTTGTGAGACTACGTTCATCGGCAGCGATTTTCTGTTGTCTTGTTTGGTTGCTAGTTGTATGAAATGGAGCCTTCTCACAGGCCGGAGAAGGAGTAGAACATGTGTGTTGTAGAGTAGGAGGCAAAGGGGCGGAAGGTGAGGTGGTGATAGCAATTCTAAGAAGTCGGAGGATGGAGATGCATACCAAGATGAAGACAACAGAAGGTATAAGTTTTCTTCCTGGAATTGCCATACTCTTACTTCCTTTGAAATATTTGCGGCCAACGGGTATATTGAATTGTGATTCAGGTGAGATCGGAGGTGAGGACTTCACAAGAGGAGTGGCAAGAGAACGGTAATGCGGTACTTCTGGGGGCATTTTTTCCCTCGCCTACCCCTTTCCACAGAATCCCCGCTATAATCACGTCTCCTCTTAGCAAGGCATTGAACTGCTGGTGGCGTTTTTTTCGTTTATCAAGTATGCTATTGAATACTCCTTAATTTTGCTTGAGTGTGGCAGAAGAAAATGATCTTTTGCTTCTGTTTCAAGATTTATATTATCTCCACCTAATTGCTGTGGTTAAGCGTTGCAATTCGCTAATCAAAGTTGCCCAAGTGTATATCTTTGTCAATCATCTCCATCTGGGCTCGTTTGGTGCTTTATTCGAGTGAAGTTGAAGGAGGCTAAGGTGTAATTGCTGGTTTGTTGGAGGGCTGCTTTCAATCAATTTTGACTTCATGGTACGCACCAATCATTTTATATATAGCAGGTTGCTGGTTCTTGATGTACATGGGATGTTGACTTTTTGTATGCCAAATCCCAACCAGTCAACTCAGTACTTAAGGTTGCTAACTGATCCATAACCGAGTCATTGCCCCTAATTGATTCTGCTGGCGTAGGGCTTACAACAAGGAGAAAAGGGTAGGGTTTTATTTTTGCAGGGACGAAGTCCCTTATGATCCTTACTGGTTAGCCACAGACCAGAACCCTGTTTTTTTATGGAGAGCCATCAATTTTTGGTCCAGAAAGCAGCCTAAAGGTTGCCATTCTTCAATGTTGTTTTGAAGAGACGACACCATCTAGTTGCAGACACATGGTCCCTTTTTAAGGGTGGTACAAAAAGAGAGACTGAAGTGATATCCTAGCCCAACCTTGCCCTAGGATAGCAAATTTAGGTGTATAGAAGCATCTGTGCCACTGTAATTTGATTGCCATGCCTGCCTAACCGATAGATCATCTACTACTACGCGTCTGATTAATTCCAAGTTGATTTTGATCTAGGAAAAAGAATAGGTGACACAAATGAGGTGTTTGAATGTGTTTTAGTCTTTTGAAGTATTTTTTTATTAAAATATATTAAAATAATATTTTTTATTTTTTAAAAATTATTTTTAACATCAATAAATTAAATAATTTAAAAATAAAAAAATTATTTTTTTAAAACTCTGTTTGAAACACAATTCCAACCTACCTAACTCTATAATTCATTTTTGAAAAATATTAAAAAAATAATAAATCTCTAAAGAAATTTAATAAGTCTGATAGATAAAACTATAATAACAAGATGGCCAAATCCAAATATTATGAATTAAAAACCTTTTCGGCAAAAAAAAAGAGGAAAAAACTCAAAATCTATAGTTAAAGAAACTAAAGAAATAAAGAAAACTTTTAAGGGCTACAATAGAGAGGATATAATAGAAAACTTATATTGTACAATTACAAGGAAACGCTTATATTGTTATTCAAGTAATTTAAATGAATGTATGTGGTAATGTTTTCATATTTGAAAATGAATTTTTCAAGTAATAACACTGAGAAATAACACTTTTATGGTATTATCTTCGATACATAGAAAATATCCATCTATACTGCTTAATTATAATATCTTCGGCCCTCTAGTTTCAGAAACTATAAATTAGTCTCTTGATTATTTTTTATTTTTTTAAGAACTCCATTATTCTTTTAGAAAAGGGCCAACTATCTCTAGCTTTTTATTTTTAAATTAATATATATATAGTCAAAAGAAAAATAATTGAATTGATGGTAGTTGAACACTTATTTTTTATTCAAGGACAAACGAATATCTAGATTGATTATAATAAGAACTCTAACATGATTTGTTTAGAAGGTCAAAACTAATGGAATAAAGTTAGATAAAATATGAGTGAAGCTATTATCATTTATTTGTTTTTATGTTTTAAAAGTTTTTTTAATTTTTTATTTATTTTAAATTAATATATTTTTAATATTTTCAAGTTATTTTAATGTGCTGATATCAAAAATAATTTTTTTTAAGAAATATTATTAATATATATTTTTGATGTAAAAAACTATTTGAAAAGCAACCATAACTATATTACCTTGAGTTTATTGTTTTTATTTTAGAATGTTTTTTAAAGATATTTTTAATTTGAAAAAAAATATAGAATTAATATTTTTAATGATTTTAATATGATGATATAAAAAATATAAAAAAAATATTTTACTATATTTTTAGATAATAATTTATTTTAAAAAATATCCTATATTATAATTCCAAATAATTTTAGATAAAAATTTATTTTAAAAAATATCCTATATTATAATTCCAAATAGACATTAAACCAGGTTATCACGACTCATGTGAATACAAAACTTTGTAAACTAAACGTTAGTATTTTTTATTTTGTGTTAAAAACTATTTTATAATAATTTATACATATTCTAATTTTTATCAGTGGTACATCCTTCGTTAGTTGATGTTATTAACGCTGTTAAAAAGTGACATATGACATGTGCCCTTAACATCTATAAAAGTTTTTGCTAATATATATTTTGTTCTCTATTTAAAAAATATTGTGGTCCCTATATTTTATTTTTGTTGCAAATAAGTCCTTAATTACAAGCTTTTTAGGCCTCATATTTTACTATAAATACAATTTACTTCCTCAAATGATGAAAATAAAATCTCGTAATACTTTGAATACACAGACACTCTTAATCTTTTTTATATTTTTTGGGTATAATGTACCAGAAAAATAAATTTAAAAATTAAAATAAAATAGTGAAAATAAATATATGATATCATAGGAAAAAATATATTTTAAAAGGGTATATATATTTAAATCTTGCATTTTCCATCAATCCATTTAAATAATTTGATTAATTTTCATCAAGTTTATGATTTTACATATAAATATTTAATAAAAGAAATCATTAGGTAGGGATAAAATACCAATACCAAGATATAATAAGTTGAGTGACACCTATTTAGGTTATTTCAAACTATTTATCAAAATCAATATCATCCAAGCTCATTAAAATCATAGTTAATATTTATCAATTCTTACAAACCTCTTTTATCTAGTAGAAAAATGTAGGACCCATGATTTGGCTCCTCGTACCCAAATCAAAGTCTAGCTAAAATCCAAAAACCCAATTTTAATTTATGTATCTAAAGAGAACTTTTGTCAAAGAATTTGTTTTTCCCTTCTTCTATTCTCCCTCCCCTACCCTTACATTTCTCCTGTTGATATCAAAGACTCAGCTATATCTAAACTTTAGCTTTTGGATTTTAAAAAGGGTTAAAGAAGTAAGCATTGCATTACCTTTTTTATTGCTTTAATTAGGGATTTGATAGTTAATAAATTTAAATAAGTGTTTAGGGTTGATTAGATAATTTAAGAGAATCAATTGATGTTTTAGGGTATTAATTAGCTTAAAACAAACTGATTAGATGACTACTGAAATTATAAGTCTTAAAGATAAGATCAATTATTTTTGAGATTTGTAAATTCAAATATTGACAAATTAGGATTTCAACTAGTCAATTAGTTAGTTTAAACTACCCAACCAATTGGCTTGAAGTGGAGGTTGAATGGTTGGTTATTTTGGTTGATCGGTTGACCTAATAATAAGGGTTAATCAGGTTTGTTAGATCCAATAAGTTTGGGGTATGTTCGGAATCAATTGAGTGAATCGGTTCGACTTTGTAATTACATTTTGATATCTATACTTGGAGTTTAAATCTCTTATGTTATTTGCTTTAAGTTATTGTTTAATCTTTTCTGTATTTGTTATAGGTTCTAGTGACATTTCTATTAGCGATTTTTGATAGTCTCCGTTTCTACATTTGCTTTATTTTTCGAGTAAGTCTGATAATCTTTAATATATATATATATATATATATATATATATATATATTTTGCACTCATATTCTATTGAATTAAATTATATTCGATATCATATTTATTTGTTTTAATATTCATGTGAGTATCTTTTATATCTTGATATTGATATACTTGCCAGTAACTTCATGCTAATGAAGAATAAGTAGTTTATGTGTACATGATATTTTGTATACCTAATCATGTGAGTATCTTTTATATCTTGATATTCATATACTTGCCAGTAACTTCATTCTAATGAAGAATAAGTAGTTTATGTGTATATGATATTTTGTATATCTAGCTGATGAGAGAAAAAACCAGTCTATGGTGATTGATCCTTTTACTGTGAACGAGGCCATAAATCTTGTCTGTTATCTAAGGTAACAACTTTATCTGATCTCTGACATATATTTTATTATTATATGTTATTATGCTTAATGTGTGTGTATATCTATTTTAGTTCTTATATTTATAAATAGCTAAAATATATATTAAATATTATTTTTTTTATTAATAAGTTGGTTGAACTCACCCTTTCATTTTAATAAGATATTAGATTCTTAGTTTCTATTAGAAGGTTGACATTTGATTAAGAATTACTACTATTTTATTTATTGGTATGTTTTATTTACTTTCACGAAACCATTTTTATTTTTTATGATTCAATATTTTATATGCTTTATTATTATGTTATTTTTATTCAACTTAAGATTTTTGTTTTGAAAATTAAATTTTATTTAATATAACAAGTATTTCTAATTATAAACTATTTTCTTAGTTCTAAAAAGATTTAAAAGATTATAAAATATTGCGTGAATTTTATAATATGCATGTTATAAGGTTTGGTGTAAGTTTAGTGGAGGTGAGGTCTTATGGCTCCTACGTTGCCGTACTGGGATTGGATAGTGACAAAATAATTATTTCAATTTCAAGGTGGAAAAGAAAAACAATGGATAGAAAATCAGGAGGAGAGAGTGTTGATTAAGTTTTGCAGTCCTTGTCAAGCTGAGCTTCGAGGAAAGTGGTATTCTGATTACTTTAATATCTGGGAAGAGTTGTTTAATGATTCTTTTCAATTAATGTTGGAGTATGAAATGGAGCAATGAGATTATTGTAATATTTATTGTTTCTTCAACAAAGTAGGTGGCTCACCAGAGATGGTGGGACTGCGTCTACGGCAGCACATCGCAAGCTAGCCTGGAAGCACAACATTTTCCACTAATTTCATAT